ATCCCAATGATTTACTCCCTGGTGGTAGATCTACCAACTCTCATGTGTGATTTTGTATGATGGATTTAATTTCACTGTTTACAGCTTCTTTTCACATAGGTGCTTCAAGAGTGGACATCGCTTCATTAAAGCTTTGAGACTCATTTTCTAACAAATATGTTAGAAAATCTGAACCATAGGACTTGGAAGTCCTTGCCCTCTTACTGCGTCTAAGTGCCTCTTCACTTTCTTCATTTATAGACTTAATGTCTATATTACTAGTTGCGGTATCATGAGCTCTTTTAAGAGAGCTCTCATCACATGCATTTTTACTAGGAAAGACATTTTTAAAAAATGATGCATTTCTTGACTCAATGATTGTATTGACATGTATATCAGGAATATCAGATTTATACACGAGAAAACGATATGCATTATTATTTGTTGCATAACCAATAAATATACAATCAATAGTCTTAGGTCTTATTTTAATCCTTTTGGAAATACGAACTATCACTTTAGCCAAACACCCCCACACTTTAAATATTTGTAGGAAGGATTTCTTCATTTCCATAATTCACAAGGGGTTTTGTCTAACTTCTTGTGGGGTAGTCTATTTAAAATATAATTTGCTGAAAGCAAAGATTCCCTCCACAATTTCTGAGATAATCCCGAACTAATCAACATGACATTCATCATCTCTTTTAAAGTTCTATTTTTACGTTCAATAATTTCATTTTGCTGAGGTGTATAAGGCGTAGAAGTTTGGTGAAAAATATCATGTTCTTGACAGAATCGATCGAAAGGTGCATCATATTCACCACCTCGATCACTTCTTTTTGCCTTAATTTTTTTGCCCAGTTGATTCTCAACCTCATTTTTATAGTGCATAAATTTTTTCAATGCTTCATCTTTACTCCTTATTAGCAAATATACATAATAATATCTTGTGCAATCATCAATAAATGTAATAAAATATTTCTTTCCACCTCTAGTTTGAATATATTTCAAATCACATGTATCACTATGAATTAATTCTAGAGGCTCAGTACTTCTTTCAATATTATGAAATGATGCTCTAGTTATTTTTGATTCAACACATGTCTCACATTTATGATTTGCATCAATATTAAATTTAGGTAATAATTCTAAATTCATTAATTTACGCAAAGTATCACAATTAAGATTTCATAATTTACCATGCCATATATTAGAAGACTCAAGCATATAAGCAGAAGATGTGTTCTTTTTATTAAAATCAGATACAAATTGTCATTACATTCATCTTAAAGAGTCATCGCTCATATATCCCTTGCCTACGTAAATCCTACTCTAGGTGAGTACAAATTTGTCAGACTCAAAAACCAACCTAAAATCTTTCTTACTCAATAATGATCCAGACATAAGATTCTTTCGAATTTCTAGAACATGTAACACATCATTGAGAGTAAGTTCTTTTTCGGAAGTCATCTTCAATATAACATTTCCTTTGCCTTTAACTTTTGAAATAGAGGAATTTTTCATGTACAGTTGTTCTTCATCATTAATTATTTCATATAAAGAGAACATCTTTTTATCCGAACATATGTGTTTAGTGGCCTCAGTGTCCACCCATCATTCCTTGGTATTCTCCACCAAGTTCACTTCGGATACTACAGCAAAAAAACTTATGTTAAAAACATTTTCAGAAAGCTTTTCTACCCTAGTTATATTGGCTTGGACAGTCTTCCTCTTGTGATTTTTTTTGTGTTTTACGGCTTCGACAATCCTTTGCACAATGCCTCGATTTATTGCACACAAAACAATTATCTTTGAACCTTTTGGAATCACCACCCTTGGCCCCTTGTTGACCAACATACTTTCTTTTCTTGTTGATTTTATGTCCCTGTTCAATCACATGTGCTTTTGACTCCATGGAATAATTACCAACTTTCTTTTCGGAGACTCTATTGTCCTCCTCAATCCTCAATCTCATGATCAAATTTTCAAGTTTTATTTCTTTGTATATGTGCTTCAAATAATTTTTGAAATCCTTCCAATTTTGTGGTAATTTCTCAATAATCGTCGTCACTTGAAAAGATTCACTAAGTATCATCCCTTCGGCATGAATCTCATGTAGGATCACTTGAAAATCTTGAACTTGACTTATAATAGTCTTGAAATTCACCATTTTGTAGTCAAGGAATCTGTCCACAATGAATTTTTTCATTCTGGCAGCCTTCGTCTTGTATTTTCTATCCAAGAATTCTCACAGCTCTTTAGCCGTCTTGATTGGACTATACACATTATATAATGTGTTATCCAATTCATTGAGGATATAGTTTTTGCATAGAAAATCAGAGTGTTTCCATACATCTACTGCAGCAACAACTTGACAGTCGGTCTCATTCTCACTACAAACAGGAGTATCCTCACGAAGAAATTTTGCAAGATTCAACGTAGTGAGATAAAACAATATTTTCTGTTGCCATCTCTTAAAATCATTCCCATTGAATTTTTCAAGTTTCTTCCCATGAGACACATGAGTAGGAACAGAAATAGGCACCACAGACACAACATAATTTGTAGTAGCAGAAACAGTATTATCATTTGCAGTCATTTCTGATAAACAAATATTGCAAACTATTCAAAAATAAGAAAACAGTAATACTTTTCAAAACAAGTTATTAAAATAGAAACAATGTCACTATTTTGCAGTGACTATTTGGTGTAACTGTTTAAAACATGCACAGAAACAAAGTAACTGTTTAAAACATACACAGAAACAAAATCACTGTTTGGTGTAACTGTTTGAATTTAAACACAAAAAATAGAATGTAAATTTTCACAAATTTCCAAGTCTTTTAAAAATATCACAGATTGTAAACAAAACAGGATTTAACAATTTGCAATATTTTAGAACAGTCTAAAAATTGAAACATGTATCAGAAACACAATAAGCAACTATACAAATTACAAATTCAAAAATCTACCTTAAGATTGTTGTTTGATGTGTGTTAAATATTGTAAAATCATTTATTAAAATTTCTGATTTAAACTTGGTAAAGTATAACAAAATAGTTACAGTAAAGAGTTACACTGAAACGAAAGAGCTACAGCAGGGTAATGAAACAACAACTGTTTGCTAAACAAAAAATAAATACTAATCCGATTGCAGAACAAGAACTATTATTGAATTTTAGATAGATCAAGACTAGTGTTTGACACTCTGTCCTTAAGACAAATTTTGCCCCCACACACAGTGCTTATGGAAACTGAGCATCTGTCTCTCATGATACAATGATCTTTACACGAACAGAAGTAGCACTCCAATCTGCTCGTTCAACGAACAAAAATTGTGTTGTGTACTCTCTAAATGCACTACCTTAATGTCGAAAATGATATGTTGTAATGTCTGTCTTATTATCTAAAATGGACTGATTAATTAATTATCTGAATGCATGCATGAACTGAGTATTTATAAACATCTTGGTGACTTTTCGGACAGTCACCAAACTAAAAGACAACCCAGAATAACAAGACACAACAGCCAGTAGACAGCTTGGGTAACTGTTCTCCATGAACAGTCACAATTTAATTCGGTCTAGAGGGAGGCAACAAACCTGATCCAACGGGTACCGAAATTAAATTTCGGGCTAAAAAATTCTTGCCCAATTTATTAAATAAATTTTCTCCAAAAAAGATAGGGTTTGGTCTAAATCACACCCGAGCCCGGCCGGGTCGTGGCTAGGCGAGGCGATGCGCGTGTGTGGTTGAACCGAAGGCATGTAGGTACTCGCTTCGCTCATAAAACTGTGGTACCCCTTGGGGTCTAATCCCATAGAGCAAACTTGGCCTATATATGTCCATGTTGAATTTCTTCCTCAACCAATGTGGGATTGGTGTCACATCCCACATTACACTTCCTTTATTTTTACATTTCAAGAGGGTCACTTTGAAGCCTATTTTCTCATTTATTTTTTACTCGATTTGAGCAAGTGAATATATTACATTATTCTCCTCACAGAATAGAATATGAACCCATAAAATTTTATTCAAAATATCAATTGGGTCCCACTGTAATTTAAGCTCAAAGTCGACCAAAAATTTAATTTTTACACTTAAAAAACTATTTTGGTTCAACAGTTGTTTTATATCCAGTTATTTACATTAATAGCCTTTTTTTTTCCTTTCATTAGTATATTTCGCCAAAGATTGTATCTTGTCATCACTATGTGTCTTGATTGAGAATGGGACGTATGTTAAGAAAAATTATGATTCATTAAGGTTTGGATGCCCTTGGCAACGCTAAAGGCCAAAATAAAATAAGCAATGCAATGTAAAGGTTCTCAAGTTATTGTGTGAATATGGATTTTTTTTTTTGGTCGGGATTTGAATATGTATTGAGAAATTAATCTAAAGCTCTAACTTATTTTTTTTTCATTCCTTCTGAATATATTGATCTAATGTCTGGTACCAAGACATGTCAGAGGTAGAGTCCACAACATATCAAATCAAAGATTTAAAAGGACATACACGCAATGAATTTGGTTGATCCAAATACAATACAAACTCAAAATGATATAATCCGAAGCCCGCATTAGTTGCCTTGGGTTATTTATGCTCACAAAGATTAAAAATATATGCCGGAAGGATTAATACTTAATCCCTTATTAAATAAAATAATTATATAAATATATTATAAATAAAAGGGTCAAAACTCAAAAGGCTGTACCCCAAATTTGGTGGGCCGGGTTGTAAGATGACCCATTACTCAGGAACAACGGCGTTGGGCCACACAACAAGCCCTTTACGGTCCAAGTTGGCCATGAAGCTAACGGACCGTACAACTGGAACAGAAGGAAAGCCCTATATTCAAACATTAAATTCCCAACGGCTAGTTTCATGTGGTAGTGTAATCTATTCTCACGCCGCCTGATCAAAGCTCCAACGGTCATATCACTCGTTTAAAACCCTAATATACGAAAAAAATCACTTTATAAACCTTCTCCTCTCTGCCCAAACAACATCTACTTTTGCTTGTTCTTTCTCAATCTCTCTGCTTCTGATCTGTATCTCTCTCTCTCTCTATTCCACCGGCGACCAGAACTGCCTATTCTCCGGTGACCCAATTCGTTTTTCCATTGGTTTTCTTGATCCAACAACGCTAATGGAAACCCCATCATCAACAAGAAGGATCACAAGATCGCAGGCCTTGGCTGCCGCATGTAACAGCAACAACATACCCATGTCAAGTGAGCAATACGTTTCTTTCTCTGTTCTTCAGATCATCTATACAGATTGTTTGTGTCTCTAATCTAATTTTTTTTTCGTACATTCATAATCTTTTGATATACTCTTTCTTTCAGGGAAAATTGAAGAATGTGAAAAAAGTGTCTCAAAATCAAGACAAAAAACTGGGAAACAACAAGATCGATCAGCCCTTATCGATATAACCAACGATTCACCTATTATTGGGCTTGCAATGGGAAGCTTGGAGACCCCATCATCGACTATGTCCAAGAAGAGGATCAACGGTCAGGCAAAGCATATGACTCCCGGATCAGGAGAGGCATTGTTGAGGGGTCAGGTCAAAACCCTCTTGCAAAAGGTTGAAGAAGAGGCTGAACTTTCGAAACTCTCTTTGGAAAGCCGGCCTTTCCTTCACCTCGGAGGTCTTGTCAACTCTCCCATGGGTCTCTTAGCCCCAACTCCTGCAAACACACCTAATGTTTTGAACCTTTCAGGCAATGGAAGTGCCAACAGCAATGGTTTGGCTTCGGTTACTCTCTCACCAGTGGAAGAAAAGTTCATGATTTCTCAGGTTTGTTCAAGTTTTGTTATATTAGAGTTTTCAATCCTTTCCCAGCTCTACTTTTTCTTAGTTCCCTTGTATTCTTTTTAACTTTTCCAATTCACATTTAAGTTTTTAATTGATTGATCTGGTTTGCAAAATTATGTATTCAATTTTTTGTTATTTTTTGTTTGTCAGATGATTAATGAGATGCTTGATGGAAAGAAGCAAGAGGACCTTGAATCTGAGAAGAGTTTGATAACAAGGTCTCTGCTGTTGGATTTTTCTGAGAAATCAGAGGCGTCTGATTCTTCTGGGTGTTCCTCTGTTCTAACATACCAAGAAGGAGAGAGTGAAGGTCGAGAGAAGTTGTCCGCAGATGATGATGATGCATCCATTTGGTCTATTCAGGTCAATGCAAGTACTAGAGATGAAGAAGAAGAAGAAGAAGATGAAGAAGGACCTGAAGAAGTCAACGAAGATGGTGAAAACGATGATGAATACTATGAAGATGGAGAAGAAGTTGAAGCAGATGATGGAGGGTTGGTTGATGAGCTTTGTGAAGGGATCTGCAAGATCAATGTGAACTGTGAGACAACAATGACAAAATTTACTGGTAAGCACACACGGTTTGTGTACAATAGCGATGATGAGCTTGAAGGAGAAGAAGAATGTGATGATGGTGAATCAGAATCGATTGTTTCAATGGGTATATTGCGCTTGAAGGGCTTGCCAACACCTGAAGGGAAGCACCTGCGCTTCCCGGAGGACTTGGAAGAAGATTGAGACTTGTCAATGGATTTGTGGTGGCCGAGTGTTTGAGGCTTTGATTTCTCTATTCAGTGGTAGTCTTTCTTGTGACTCCACACTTTCTTTGTTGTCGGTTGTTATTTTCTTTCTTTTTTTTGGGATTCAGTCTTGAATATGGAATCATGGGTTGTTAACAGTTTTTTGATTGATGAAGCAACAGAATGTTTGCTGGTCGGTCATCATTTCTTACAGAATTGAGGAGGGTTTGTGCTGCTGCGGTTTTCATTTCTGCATTGTCTTATGTGTGTTGTTAACATTTTCTTTGGTAGATACAGCAGCAAAAAAATCCTGTGAGAGTTGGGAAAATTGTAACATGATGAGAAATGGATTGGAAAAACACCTTTTTTTTGATTAAATCCACCAATCCTTCTAGAAATTAACCTTTAGCATTTCTTTTAGTTTCAGCAAAATGCATTTCATGTAGGGGGAGGCAGTGAACTTCTTCTTTTCCCTGTTTTTCTGTAGGCCCTAACCTCTCTATCCTTTGGTGTATAAATTTTATCCCAACTTAGCAATTGAACTTTCTTCTTTTCTTCTACATAATCCCCATTGGAAACTTCTATTTCATCTATCTAATTAGCCCTCTCCCTTCCACCTAGAAAGTTTTTCTGGGTCCGGCTATTCTACGGTAACCAGGTAACAGCATAGCAAACAGTTAAGTGGAACGGCGTCGATTCACTTGTTTTTGCAATTTTTTTTTTTACTTACCAAAACGACGTCGTTTCACTAAAGCTAAAAAACCACATCTGAAACTTTTCTCCTATCCTCGGCTTCGTCAGACTCAAGCGCTCCTATCTCTCTCTCTCTCTCTCTCTCTTCTCCTACCTCCTACGATAAAAAGCTCCTGCCTTCTTTACCTCTCTCGCTAATCGCTGAGGAGTACCCAGGTTTGTATTACTATTTTGGGTTATTAATTTTGCAAAAATGGACCTAATTTTAGATTTTGTGGACTGAATGCAATATGAAATTTGGTTTGTACTATTTTAATTTTTTTTTAAATGTTATTGTATAGTTAAAAATGATATTGTTCTATGTGAGAGTCCCTGATCTTTGTTTACTTGAATTTGTATACTTTCTTGAACCGTTTTGTAATCACATCATTTTGAGTCATTCTGCCAGTGTGCACTTTTTACAATGCTAGTAATTGAGGAATACACGTAGAAATCCCATGATACAGAGGTTAGAGAGGGCTATGGTAATGCATTCCTCAGTTGATAATTTTTTTTTTCTACGTTTAGGTTGAGGTCAATAGTGTGAACCCTAAATTTGGACTTCAAATTGCAAGTGATATGGAATTTCTGACATACTAATGACATCCCTATAAGTCAAGCATGCGTTCTCAAAATTGAAAAGAGAGGATCATATTTTGACTTGCAAGTGTTACCTATATTTTGACTCCAGGGATTTTTTAGTGTCAACAATTTTGTTTTGCACTCACCAATTCATGGTAGAATTTGATTATGGTTTTTGTTGATGGGATCTTATAGGGATTTATTGCTTTATTTATAGGGTTAATCTCATTTTGCACCATAAAAGATTGTTCAAATCTCAATTTGCACCCCAAAGATCAAAAAATTTAATTTGTACCCTCAAAGATAGAAATTTATATCAATGTGCATCCCCAAAGATAAAAAATCTCAATTTGCACCTTCAAAGATAAAAGTTTGTATCAATGTGCACCTAAAATTAAATTGATAAATTATGCCTAGATCCCCTCATACTTGTCACTTAATCATTTAGACCTCTTCACATTTAGAATATTACTCCTACATCTTATGACATTTGTGCACGTATAACACGTAACCCATTTTCATTGATATCTATTAATATAACCGTTAAAAAATATAATTTTATCCTAATAAAAAATTATAATTTCATATTACCCTATATTTTATAGGTTCAATATATTCTAAATTTCAAAATCTAGTTTACCATTTGAATGTCTAATAAAATGTAAATATTTATATAATGTTTTTCATATTACCTTTTATATAAATATCTACATTTTATTAGACATTAAATTGGTAAGCTTGATTTTCAACTTTAGAGTATATCGAATCCACAAAATAAAAGGTAATATGAAATTATAATTTTTTATTAGGATAAAATCATATTTTTTAACGATTATATTAACAGATATCAACGAAAAGTGATTATGTGTTACACATGCACAAACGTCATGAGATGTAAAGGGAATATTCTAAATGTGAAGGAGTTCAAATGATTAAGTGACAAACATGAGGGGATCTAGGTATGATTTATCAATTTAATTTTAGGTGCACATTGATACAAATTTCTATCTTTGAAGGTGCAAATTGAAATTTTTTATCTTTGGGGATGCACATTGATATAAATTTCTATCTTTGAGGGTACAAATTGAGTTTTTTGATCTTTAGGGTGCAAATTGAGATTTGAACAATCTTTTATGGTGCAAAATGAGATTAACCCTTATTTATATGCTTCTGATTTGGATTCTTCTTACATGATGTTGCTTTCTTTAGTTGCTAAAACCAAAAAATTTAACCCTAAACCTGCATCTCTTTCTAAATTATCACCTTTGCTTTTCCTTTTTGAGTACACCCATTTTAGACCGGGGATGAACATTTTTCCTTTTAATTGACTATCAACGTTAACAAACATTTTGGTCTTAAACCTTTGTGGTAATTTCCAGCACCTTTTTGGGGTCTTAAACAATTAGTCAAGCCCTCATTTTTGTATAGGTTTCTTATGCAATTGGATTTATACAATACCGTAAACATATGTGATGGTTGGGAAGCTCTTTTTTTTCTCTTTGTTGCTTTCTTATGCCAAGATTTTAGTCGACCCCAACTCTTGTAACCATCTTCTTTTCTTTTTAAACGTTTAACTTGGAGAAGGTTTAGGTCAACATTTTTCATTCCACTTGGGTCAACATTTTTATGGATTGAGTCAACATTTTCATAGATTGAATCATTGCCACCATCACCAATTGATGCATACATACTATCCATTTGTTTGAACAATTTTTCAACACTACGTGACACCAATTGATATGTAGGTTGAAGACCAGAGAATCGAGCAGCTAGTTGTACCATTTTAGGACAAAACTACCTATAACATGACGCCACCGTTAACTTGAGATTCTTTTCATTTGACATTAAAATGGGGGCTGTCCTACAACTCCTTCTTGCATCTCATCTCCATCTCTTACATATGTATTGCTCAAAAATTTGTTTAATATTCATCATGTCCAAGACTTTAAGTGCATGGCCACATAATATTCCCTCCATTTCAAAAACTACAATTAACTATCTCCTCAATAGTCTTACTCAAGACCAAATACTCTCTATGTTCATTATATAATTAAATCATAAATTGATACCACCTAGCCAACACATCACATGAACTTCAGCACAACAGAAGCATTCAAAGATTAACTTCAGAACATAAGCATAGCAGCACACATAGTAGCAACCTTGCTGAGGCTGCAACAAACATTGTAGCACAGCAGCAAAACAGAAGCCAACAATTAACCAAATCTGAAAAGATGAACTTAAGAACAATTGTATGCCATGAATGATCCATTTTTGCATGCAATTGCATAAAAAACCTATACAAAAATGAGGGCTTGACTAATTTTTTAAGACCCCAAATGGGCGTTGGAAATTACCACAAAGGTTTAAGACCAAAATGTTTGTTAAAATTGATAGTCAATTAAAAGGAGAAAGGTCCAACCCCAGTCTAAAATGGGTGCACTCAAAAAGGAAAAGCAAAGGTGATAATTTAGAAAGATATGCAGGTTTAGGGTTAAATTTTTTGGTTTTAGCAACTAAAGAAAGCAACATCATGTAAGAAGAATCCAGATCAGAAGCCTATAAATAAAGCAATAAATTCCTAACAAATCCCATTGACAGAAACCATAATCAGATTTTACCATGAATTGGTGAATGCAAAATAAAACTGTTGACACTAAAAATTCCCTAGAGTCAAAATATGATCCTCTCTTTCAATTTTGAGAAAGCATGCTTGACTTATAGGGATGCCATCAGTATGTCAAAAATTCCATATCACTTGCAATTTGAAGTCCAAATTTAGGGTTCACACTATGGGCCTCAACCTAAACGTAGAAACAAAAAATTATCAACTGAGGAAATGCAATATCATAGCCCTCTAACCTCCATATCATGGGATTTCTACGTATATTCCTGAATTACTGGTATTGTGAAAAATGTACAGTGACAAAATGGCTCAAAATGATGTGATTATAAAACGGTTCAAGAAAGTATACAAATTCAATTGCACAAAGATTAGGGACTCTCACATAGAACAATAACATTTTTAACTGTACAATAACATTTTAAAAAAAATATAAACAGCACAAACCAAATCTTATATTGTATTCAATCCAAAAAATCTAAAATTAGGTCCATTTTTACAAAATCAATAATCCAAAATAGCAGCACAAACCTGGGTACTCCTCAGCGATCAGCGAGAGAGGGAAAGAAGGCAGGAGCTTTTTTTGTCGCAGGAGGTAGGAGAAGAGAGAGAGAGAGAGAGAGAGGAGCACCCGAGTCTGACGAAGCCAAAGGCGGGAGAAGGGTTTCAAATGTATTTTTTAGCCTTAGTGAAACGACGTCGTTTTGGTAAGAGAAAATAAAAAAATAAAAAATTACAAAAACGAGTGAAACGACGCCATTCCACTTAACCGTTTGCTATGCTGTTACCTGGTTACTTTAGAGGAGCCAGACCCACTTTTTCCTGTGTTTTTTCAATTAGATAATAGAAATGTTGGGTTGATTTTCTGTTCTGCAGAATTTGGATGCCTAGATATTTCCCTCAGTTATTTGTCAAAGTGAAACCACAAATTTTCTACCGAGTTACCTAGCCTAGCTTTTTTTTTTTGTTAATGTTTGGGGAAATGTAGACTCTTGATTTAAATAAATATAACTACCCTTTTGTCCAGAAAAGTCACAAAATTCTTATTGCTCATCGGAGATGTCAATGACTACTGTATCTTCCATCTTGATGCGGGGTTTTTGTTCCTCTACCCTCATTCGAGTCACTCTCATACAGATCTGGCCTTTGTTCCTCTATCCTCGTTCGAGTCACTCTCACACAGATCTGGATCAAAATAAATAGATGAAGTGTCCTCCAATAAAGCAGCATTGTTGTTTCTGATTTTGGGGGCTTCCTGGGTGCTTGCAGACAGAAACAACTGTTTTGGTGGTAGGTAGATCTATAGCCATCTCTTCTTCGATGATTATATGGTTTTCCTTTACTTTCTTTGTACTTCTCTGGAGGTGGCCATCCTCCTCCATTGATCTTTCCAGAGTATTTGTAGAGTCTTCATTCATCAATGTGGCTGTTGTTGCCATTGAATGCCATTTTGAAGTCGTTGATTTCTCCCTCTCCCTTCTCAGGTCACCTTAGAGAGGAAGTGGATTGTTACATCTGTACAGAGGTATCTCGGTAACAAAATAAAAAGGAAATTCATGTAGCTAGGAATGAACAGAATTCGTATGGTTCTTCCCACAATAAAATGTAACATTGCATGGATCAGATGGCCAAAAAGGTGCCTGCAAGCATAGAACAATGTAAATCATGAGGATAAACTTAAATCATTGTGCAAAATGCAAGAGCTATGTATACTCGGGAAGAATTTCCATTAGCACAAGTAATTTACAAGGGACACTAATAAGAACAATCCATGTCAATCAGACACCATCTTACATTGCCAATATTTACATCTCAATTACAAGGAACCCATGCTTTTGGCTTTCTGATTGACTGGCTAGCTCATAATTTACCAAAACTAGGCACCATACTAAAACCAGGGATGCCATGTTGGATCCATCATGCACAAGTTTCTGGGAGTCAGTGCGGCTTCAACTAACTCGGTCACACCCCTCTGCACAGACTGAGGCGGGTCCACAGCATTCTCCTCCTAATGTAATTAGTTTCAAACAAGCAAACACAAAGATACAAGATCAGGGCATAAAAAGCAGATTGGTTTCACCAAACCAAAAATAAATAAATTGAAACAGGAAAGGAAAGTACGTGTCTATCTCTAACTAACTATTTTTTAGTATCCGTAAACACAATAGTGCATGAAACTTAGAGTTCCTTCACTATATTTGGCTTTTGATCTTGGATTTTAAGAGCACATAATGTTTTCTTTACTTGAAAATTGCTGAAGCTCTAAAGTTAATGTAGTTGAAAGGAGGCATCCATGGAAAATTTTGTGAAATTGCAGGCAAAACCATACCTCTTCAGAGATGTACTGTGGGGCTATTCCCTTGATCCGAGCAATAACATGGTCGACATTTGTGGTGACCTTCTTTTTGAAGTCAACAGGGTTCAAACTAATAGGGGCCAGAGGCATGCCAAGGGGTCTTCTCCAAGACCAAGATAATAGCTCATCGCGGAAAAACATAGCTAGATGATGCCATAAATGCTGACTTTGCTGCAATGGAAGGTATTTAAGATACCATTAGTCAGCATTGGGAGGAAAAACGAAAAAAGACCAGCTAAAAGTTGAAGCTAACGCATTTCTGCTATAAAACTCACTTTAGGTGAGACCACAGCCTGTGATGCCGCACACATGGCCGACACAATAAGGCCTTCCACACCGAAATGGGAGAAGAATGCCTGTAAATTCCTTGTCAAGCGGAAAGGCACCGGTTCATTAAACTCAATCATTCCATTAGCATCATATGCAGGATGGAAATCTGTCTGGAATATTTTCCCAGTGTTCTTAGCAAATAATATCTTGTTTGGAGACCTCCCCCCAATCTGAAGCATATATGACATGAAACTTGAGAGGGCCAACTGGATGGCAAATTGCTTTTTGAAAGCCCACATACGATTTCCACTCAGCAGAGTCTTGTACATGTACTGCGAGAATATNACTATTTATTTTTTAGTATCCGTAAACACAATAGTGCATGAAACTTAGAGTTCCTTCACTATATTTGGCTTTTGATCTTGGATTTTAAGAGCACATAATGTTTTCTTTACTTGAAAATTGCTGAAGCTCTAAAGTTAATGTAGTTGAAAGGAGGCATCCATGGAAAATTTTGTGAAATTGCAGGCAAAACCATACCTCTTCAGAGATGTACTGTGGGGCTATTCCCTTGATCCGAGCAATAACATGGTCGACATTTGTGGTGACCTTCTTTTTGAAGTCAACAGGGTTCAAACTAATAGGGGCCAGAGGCATGCCAAGGGGTCTTCTCCAAGACCAAGATAATAGCTCATCGCGGAAAAACATAGCTAGATGATGCCATAAATGCTGACTTTGCTGCAATGGAAGGTATTTAAGATACCATTAGTCAGCATTGGGAGGAAAAACGAAAAAAGACCAGCTAAAAGTTGAAGCTAACGCATTTCTGCTATAAAACTCACTTTAGGTGAGACCACAGCCTGTGATGCCGCACACATGGCCGACACAATAAGGCCTTCCACACCGAAATGGGAGAAGAATGCCTGTAAATTCCTTGTCAAGCGGAAAGGCACCGGTTCATTAAACTCGATCATTCCATTAGCATCATATGCAGGATGGAAATCTGTCTGGAATATTTTCCCAGTGTTCTTAGCAAATAATATCTTGTTTGGAGACCTCCCCCCAATCTGAAGCATATATGACATGAAACTTGAGAGGGCCAACTGGATGGCAAATTGCTTTTTGAAAGCCCACATACGATTTCCACTCAGCAGAGTCTTGTACATGTACTGCGAGAATATGTCGGTCACAACATTTTTCGTAATGTCATTATAAGCTTGGAGACGGAGATCCATTACAGCTTCTTGTGATATCTGGCCAGAAATAGCTTGGTTCAGTTGCTCCTTAAAATAGGTAATAGGTAAGTCTGCCTCTCGGTCATTCCTTGCACAATGGTTCTCATATACCTCAAGGAAGGTGCTGTACATCAAATCATCTTCCACCATGCGGACCTAGGTCAAGCATCCATTACTATTATTAGAATAGTTCAGTAAATAATCCTTCTTGGATTTGCTGCAAGTATCACTTTTTTGGCAATTTTACTAAGTTCCACACAGTGCACACATAAGAAATCTATACAGAGCAGAGAGAGTGAAAAGCACAAGATCACGGTACCTGGGAGGAACCCCTATTAGCATGTTTATGAGTGTCCAAGAAGAGAACAGAAATGAACAAACTAACATTTACCAAGGCTGAACTATCACCTGTGACCACACAGGGATGATGATTGGAGTGTGAATGCATATGTGGCGACGTCTGGATTCCTTGTGTTTATCAAACATTCGGTTCATGACGCGGAAAAGCTGTAATATGCGTTCATCACTTCTAGCGTTGGGAGTCAAAGATGTCTGGACAATAAAATAGCGCTGGGAGCCATCTGAGCCAATTAGAGTCAAGCGCCGGAAACTGCTTCCATGTCTTCTCACAATCGGAATATCAGCTCCAATCCTATCTAGTTTTATCGTATGATCAGGTGCAACTTCCTGAAAAAATGTTACCAATACAACAGTATATAAATAAGCATTCCAGCTTAACTATGTGATATATAAATACTAACCCAAAAAAGAAAAAAAAACTGTGATAAATAAAAAAAGAAAACTGAACATAAAACCAAAGAACAATTGAAGCAAGAACATCATAGATAAGAAGGGGCAAAACAGTCTGATACCAATGGTTGGCATTTCCTTGCATGAGAAGGGTTTGCATGCAATTAAAAACTAAAAATTATACTCATTCCTTTACTGCACAAGATTATTATGTTTCATGTTTATGAGAATGCACAACAAAATTGTAACATTGAAACCAAAATCATCCCCCATCACATAAGAGTTTCAATTTGACTAGAGTCATAATAAACCTGATTCAACTAACCTGATCAGTAAAATACTGTCCTGGAACTTCGACATCAACGACATGGAAGNTAAGAGTTCCAATTTGACTAGAGTCATAATAAACCTGATTCAACTAACCTGATCAGTAAAATACTGTCCTGGAACTTCGACATCAACGACATGGAAGTCACGCAACACCCTGCTTTCATCTTCCAGCTTCAAAATAGCAGGAAATCGGTCCTCAACATTGCTTTGGAGAACATTTTTCCAGTGCTTCAATCGTTCAGTCAGCTCGGAAAGAGTAGCTGGAAATGTGGTGGTGCTTTCTGGATCAAGATCGCGTTCAAAATCCAGCTTGTATTCCCTCACAAATTCAACATGCTTGTTCACAGCATCTGCTGAAAAGCAGGCCTTGCAAACACCAGAGAGCTCCTTCTTGAGAGACTGTGGAACCTCTGCTGTAGTTGCTGTTGGGTACTTATAACAGCGGTGAAGCAAAGCATTAACCACGGCCAGTAGTCTCTCCTCTGGCAGGGTGACAAATCTTGAGCCAATTTCTGTAAGCAGAATCTACAAAATGAAATATGACATATTCAGTTGCATGGATTAACCATATTTAAAAATAAAATCCATCTTCGACAAATATATTCCCATCAATGTACTGACAATCACGTAAAGAGATGGGAAAAATTGGAAACAAGAAAGATTTAAGATAGCTTACACTTATATTTCGTCTGCAGTTCATAGGCAAAACAAGATTACCAGTATTGATTTTTCCTTTTGTTTTTACAAAATATAAGCAAATAAGGTCAGTCAAGCAAGAATGAAACTGTTCACCTCAAGTTCGCTGGCCAGATTAGTGTGTTTGCTTCTAAGGGCTTCCATTATATCCTTGGCAGCATCAAAAGCACTAGCAGCAGAAGCAACCAAACCCAAAGCACCATTACGCCTTAATGCATTCTGACCACCATCATTAATATTTGATGAACCCTGTTGTAAAGGTTGGTCAGTCTGCATGGTGCCTTCCACAGAAGTGGACCTTTCAGGTTCTTGCACCTGAGAGTTTGCACCATCGTGAGATCCTACACCACCACCAGGTTGACCTCCTTGATGAACTTGATTGTCAGCTAAAGAAACCCCACCCTGACCAGCCACTCTTGTATTCCCATCAGCCAAGCCAATAGAGCCAGGAGCACCAGCACCAGAGACATTCTGCTGCATTCTTTGCTGAGNAGCCACTCTTGTATTCCCATCAGCCAAGCCAATAGAGCCAGGAGCACCAGCACCAGCACCAGAGACATTCTGCTGCATTCTTTGCTGAGCCATTGCCAATCTTCCAAATTCAGACTTATTTGCAACATCACGACGTTCGAGCAAATATGTGCGCAGCCAGTAGTACAATGCCTAACATTCAAAAGTTGACATAAATCAATACCAAAGAGATGGGTGTGAAAGCATGTACCTAGATGTCCTCCACAAGAAGCAACATAAAAATTCACCTGTGGGTACACATTGGCAATTTTAAGAAGAACAAGTTTGCAATGAGGAGCTTCAGCTCTCTGCAAGGAAAGCAAGAGCTGGGGAATCCAAGAAAGCCAAACCCAATGTGGTATCTGGTCCAAGTACTTATCAAAAGCTCTCCCCACTGGTTCATTGGGAGTATCAAAGCTTAGAAGATATAGAACACGAGCTAGGTGGCTTCTCGCATTCGAAATTCCAAATTTGATACCTTGAAGAAAGCAGCTCACAGAATTTATTAACCAAATCTCTTCATTGGTTTCTGAGTAAGCCTAGAAAATATAATTGCAGATCAGATACTTTAAGTTATCGGCAAAACCTAGTGTATGACTAGAAATTGCAATATGCATACCATGTCACAATAGTTTCCCCAGCTAATCCATCCTTTAGGCAAGTTTTTGAAGAGGCTGANAGAATTTATTAACCAAATCTCTTCATTGGTTTCTGAGTAAGCCTAGAAAATATAATAGCAGATCAGATACTTTAAGTTATCGGCAAAACCTAGAGTATGACTAGAAATTGCAATAAGCATACCATGTCACAATAGTTTCCCCAGCTAATCCATCCTTTAGGCAAGTTTTTGAAGAGGCTTATGGCATTTGAATATGCAAGATTGGCACCTTCGCAATCATTTAGCTTCATCAAGAAATCACCCTTAATACGAAAAATCTCTGCTTTATGTTTAACAGGAAAATATTCCAGATTGGTACTGTTGATCAGGCTAAGACCACTGGTAAGTTCTCCCTTCATTTCTAGATAAGCCTTTGCTTGTTCTCTTATTTTAACAAAGGCCTCCTGCAAACATGTCACACAAAAAATTCATAAGATGACTGTATCCTATTCTCCATCCTCACCTCCCCCACACNTCCTGCAAACATGTCACACAAAAAATTCATAAGATGACTGTATCCTATTCTCCATCTCCCCCACGCCCAAGAAAGGAAAAGAACCAAAACAAAAGACAGGAAAAATTTTGGGCACCTGCACTTCCATCGTTGAGTGCCCATACATCTTCTCCAGCACAGACACACAAACATCATACAGGCACTGCTTCCGAGCAATGTGGGCAAGCTTATTGACATTCCATGCTTTGTCACGGTAACCGAGGTGATGAAGTTGTGAATTTGTGGTGCCAAAATCCTTAAAAGCATCAATGACTGCATTATACATTTCATTCCTCCATTGGAGCAAATCATACCAAACAGATGAATTGTCCCATTCATTTGGAGTTCTTAGTCTCCAGGTCTCGAGGATGTCCTTGAGATCGGCATACACACCATTTACACCGCCAACGGAACTTCCAGAAAGTTTGCTTCCATTGGCAATATCCACTATGATTCTGGCCGATTCTTGAACTTCAACTAGCTGTTGGAACTGCTGCAAAAGAGGAATTCTGGCATGAACAGACATTTCAGGCAATTGCCACCACTGTTCCAAAGCAAGATCAACACCTTTTCCCACCATGTTTTCAGCATCCACCACGCCATTTGTATTCTTTTCATGAAGAGCAAAATAGGCTTGGATTATACGAAGTTTTGGAGTCTCTTCTACTTGGGCCTTTGGAATTACCTGATCTTTCAGATATGCCCAATCTGGCTGTTTCCAAAGACTATCAAGCAATATTTCATAATTCTCAACAAGTTTTCCAAAGTCTACTAAAACATCCCACTGACTTAGTTGACTAGCACAATAGAGCCACTGCTCCTCCCAGAGACACATCTCAGCCTTTGGTACTGTGTTGTTGTATGTGCCCTGGGTTGCCTTAACCATGGCTTGGTAAAAGAGGCTTTGAGCCCGCTGCCAGTAACCATGCTGAACAAGTGAAAGCCCAGCCCTTGTTTCTGCAGTAATTGACCGTTTCTTCCACAATCCACACCTCATATCTTCTTCATTGAGCAAACGATAAAGCTCAGCCAAAGACTCAGAGCACTTTGAGTCATTCAAGGACAACATTACATGGCTTTCCAGCAGAGCTAATGCGATGTGCCATGCATTGTAAGTCTTTCCAATGTATTTGATGAGTTCACTAGGCATTCGAGGCTGAGGGAGGCTTGACTGAAGTCCTTCCAAAAGAGCCTGCACAACATTTGGCCGGTGTGCCTGCTGCTTCTTGTGATAATCTTTTGATAAGAGAGTTATCATTGGCTTAGCAAGTGCTACTTGTTCGTCCTTGTGTAAACTCACCCAGACAATGGGGAAGACCAACACCCACAAATTATACGCAACATTTGAATCCGTATGAGCCAGCTCTCTCAGTGGAATGACCAGATCAGCAACCTACAATGGAGTAAAAATTCAATCAAAATCAACGAAACACTGTATTCTAGGGTAAATTATTTGAAAACCCACTGTTGATTGCCCTACCACAGGATCACCCATCGCATACTACAAAAGTACACTGCACTTCATTCTAGTTCATGTCTTGGCTTCACGTATAATTCCTTCCATGACAAACCATTATTGAGAATGAATAAAAGCACGGCAAACAAATATTCTTACTACAATTCCGATTCTGACCATAATAAACATATTCATTTAGCCTTTTGTAAGTTGATCAACAGTACTGTGAACTCCTCTTATCAAAAGAAATCTCAAAGTCAAAAATAACAAAATAAGTTTAAAAATAAAATAAACAAAACAGGAAAATATAGAAACAATAAATATCCCCATATCATCAGAAGAGTCGAAAAGAAAACCAAGAAGAATTGACCAACAAAAGCAATCAAAAAGAATAAAAAAAAATCTCCATACACTGAAAAATAAAAACCATAATGAATAAAAAATAAACGGGAAAAATTAAGTTTTTTTAACATTTGCTTGTATGTATATAATCCGGTTTTTTTTCTCCCTTTCCCAGCCAAGGTCTTGTTCCACATTGCTGTTCACTATGCTCGCATGAAAAATAAAAATCTGTCATGGTCCCCCAAGAAAGTCTCTCCAATTATATCATTTTAGAAGCCCAAGATGGTTTTAATGATGAATTTATCAAGTATCTTATGGTTGCTATGCTAACGGTAATCAAACTTGGGCAGTGACAGTGGGTGAGAATGGCACGTGACATGGTGTTTGTGCTCTTGAGGATAGCCGTGCAATATGGGTTAGAATGGTCATGGTTGTTGGTGGGGTCAATGAAGACGGGAATATTGCAGGGGACCAATGATGACGGCCTGCTGAAATATCACCTTGTTGATCAAGAGAGTGGGAACGAGATGCTCTGGACCCATTAAATTCCATGTGTAATTGAAGACATTTAATAGTCATGGCGGCATGACCAAAAAAAGAATGGAAAAAGTCATGGTGGCCGTGATGCTATGGTCATGGTTTACATATATACATACAAAGAAGAGAAAAAGAAAGAAGAGGGGGGGGGGGGGGG